TCAAGTTTGAATTTTGGTGGCATCACTTTAACAGTTCTAGAGTTATGCCCTTTATAAATGGAAAAATTGCAAAATTTTTATTTTCTTCTAAATATCAAGTAATTTTTAAAATTTGAGTTATCTTCCTTTGTCCATGATTATAGTTCAATCAACTACACTCAATGCTTTATACAATGCAATGTATAATTTTGACTTCCACTGATAAAACACAGATCAAGTTGAATTTGGGTAGTGTCACTTTAACCATTATTGAGTTATGCCCCTTTATAAATCGAAAGATTGCAAAATTTTTAGTTTCCATTCTGTAACTTAAGTTTGCCCAAACCAAACATTATGAAACCTATACAAAATATTCATTACCACAAAACTAAGATTAAGTACAAATTTTTGTTTCCGTTTTCTAACTTTAGTTTGCCTCAACCAAATGTTATGAACCTTATACACAATGCTTATTACTACATAGTACAGATTAAGTACAAAATTTGGTGGCGACACTTTTACCATTCTTGAGTGATGTCCCTTTATAAACATAAAAATTGCTGAATTTTTCGTTTCCGTTCTCTGACTTTAGTTTGTCGCAACCAAATGTTATAAAACTTATACACAACTGTTCTAGAGTTATGCGTGTTTACAAATAGAAAAATTGTTGAATTTTTAGTTTCTGTTCTCTACTTAAGTTAGCCTCAACCAAATGTTATGAGACTTACACACAATGCTTATTACTACAAAACTCAGATCAAGTTCAAATTTGGGTAGCGTCACTTTTACCGTTCTTCAGTTATGTCCCTTTATAACTATATGATATGCAAGCAGGGGCATCATCTGTGTCCACATGTGGTCACTATCCACATTTATTTCTTTTGTTTTAAACTCTTCTATTAGTTTATTGTGCTTGATATATTCATCTTTTGTTTGATTTTATCTGTTTATATCATTTTTCATCTTTAAATTCGTTAAATACTGTCTTGTTATTAACTAGACAATCTCCATATATGCTTATTATAACCCTTTCTCTAATTACTTAACAAAACCATGGTAAGGGACAAAAAACTGAAATATAGATTTGAAAAAGCTATATAGAACAACTCTTGACCAGAGGAAGGGACATTGAAACTACATTAAACAAATGAGAAAAGTAAAAGGGAAGATCAATAAATAAATTTACAATGAAGTAACAAATAATTATGTCCGAAACAAATGTGCCAGATGAAAAGAAAATAGGAAGTACTAAACAGGATATGACAATTAAAGTCAAATGACAAGAAATACTAATTGCATCAACAGAATGTTATAAATTTCTAAACTTAGACAGATCAAATTTGATTCTCACGGGGATTCGACCACCTGTATATTCGACTGAAAAATAATAGGTTTTTCTATCAAATACTAAACAAATGAAAAATACTAATTGACTATAACTATCAAACTATAATTCTATAACTGACCAGTAAATAATACTATTATTTTAATAGAGATACGAGATACACATATATATACAATGGATGTAAAGGATTTTCTATTTATTTTCATTGGTATTATCGATCCAGAAGAAGAACATAATACATTAGTATGTGTATCTGTTACGGCACTCCTGAACTATATTAAGATGTAGTAAACAATTCATGATTTAGGTTAGTTGAGGTCAAGAATGCACGTGCATGTATCTGTGACGTATATAGAATTAACCAATCAGCAAACGAGATCTTGTAATCACGTGGAAGCAATTAGATAGAAATATTTGACTGATAAAATACACATACTTATCTATCACACCTTGCAGGATCTATTTTAACGCTATAACATAGGAAGAAAATCTGTTTTGTCTTTTTTTAAAAACAATAATAATCATCTGTCAAATAGAAATTGATAATGCAAGTTATTCACAAATAGAATAACAACTTCTAGTAATCTCTCAAATAGAGACTGCTAATCTAGGTTATTCTCAAATAGAATACCAAAAATAAAGTAATCTCTCAAACAGAGACTGCTTAACTAAGTTGTTCTCAAATAAAATAACAAAATAAGATATTTAATCTCTCAAATAGAGTATTAAATTTATTAGCAATGAGCAAACGTTTTGCATACAAAAGACATACAAATCTAAAAGGGTATTTAACGAATTTAAAGATGAAAAATGATATAAACAGATAAAATCAAAGAAAAGATAAAAAAATATCAGGCACAATAAACTAATAGAAGAGATTAAAACAAAAGAAAAAAATACCCAAAAACAGAAAGAAGAAAAAGAAAGAAACGAATGTATAAACAGGTGTCGTATCCCCATAGGTGAAATCAAATTCGAACTATTCTAAATATTACAAGAAAGGAAACATATAGGCTAGGGATACCTGATGAGGATAGGCCTAGGTCTACATGACCATAACCGAAACACCTCTTTTAGTATTAGAAACACTGACCAGATCGGGATTTCTATTCTAAAAATACGCACACAATACTTATACTACAAGCATGCAAATGTGAATTTCTTAAAAAATATGAAAATAAATGCTGGAAAATGTATTCCATAACAAAAAATATTTATCATACACTGAGTATACCAGCTCTAAATTACTCTAAATGTATGCACATAGAAAATTGAATTAATTTCGAAGGATTGTAATACGAGATACTGGATTGGTCCTGGACCCGATTGATTTTAATAATATTGTTTTATTTTCGATAATATTGTAGTAATCGAACATTTGTTGATCCAAGCAATTCAAAATGACGGGTCCCTCTTTAGTTACAGGATGTCAACTGTGGATTTGATGGTAACATTTGGCTAATGAAAAAAAATTTTACATAAAAATTGCATTAGAATAAAGTGTATATGATATGCCTTTTTCAATATCACACCCGTATCAATCCTCAATTAATATAATCTACCGAGCAGAGCGCTTTGGATTATATTGGGGGCATCTAATATTTTCTATTTATATTAAGTAATTTTTCTGGAGGTTATTTTTGCGTTTTGCAAACACAATGTTTGACACTGCCTTCCAGGATTTTATCTTCCAGAAGCACGACAATTTGTCATGTTTCTGTAATCCATCCAAGTCTATCTTTTTGACAGGATTTTGAATTAGGCTTGTTATAAAGCTGTCGTCTGACATATGCATGACATATTTGCAACTGTCAATCATTAGTTTAATCGGGAAAAATAAAAATTCGAAAGTGACTTTTTTTATCTAACTATTCTAGAAACTAGGTGTGAGAAGACTGTCAGCGTGTTCCTTTTTGATTCGATTATTTTCAGAAATATATATATAGTGTCTGTTTAAAACAATGACAATATGTAATCTCATTCTTACTTCATAATGATGTCATACAGACGTGATTCTTTTATGTTTTGAGTTAATTGCATTTACAAAATACAAGAATTAATCACACTTAATTCGGTCAAATGAAAAAACATGCCATCATTCAAATGTTTATATTGAATTTAATTTGTCCAATTGCTGTTAGTTAAGACATTACTGAGATTTTGTTTATTAGTGGTGAAAATTGCAATAGAATATGTTTTACAAAATCAATCTTGATAAAGTTTTAATTGCGGTTTTTGTATGGAACATTTCCTAAAATCGTCATAAACAACATGAAATTATTGTCTGTTGTTCAACAATCACAATATGAATGTTGGCTGAGATTTATGAATATAAGTATCAGTGGAAAAACTATTACCAAATTTATTGTGATTTTTTTTATCCATTAGATATTCACGGCAATGGGTACAATTCATTACCACAACAGCTATTCAATTGCCAATTACATGAACAACAGGAACATTCAGTACAAATCAAATGCCAGACGATTGACCAATGGGAACCCCCTTGATATTAACTTATGTTCGAACTCCGTAATGTACTCCTGACCTGTTACTTTCATGGTCAATATATTCAATCAATTACTTTATAATATGGATGAAATTTAGTATAAGTTTTTCAAACTTTATGATATCTATCTACATATAGCCAAGCAGTAAGTTTATTTCAGTAATGAAATATTGCGTCTATCGATTTTGTAAATCTTTAATCAATGCAAAAGAACCAACGAACCATCAAATTCAAAATCAAGGAAAAGTAACACTAAGAAACAAAAACCTACTGGTGTATCAAAGATTTCATTTTGAATATCTATGTGAGATAATAATTTTAATGTCTTAGTAGGGAATATTTGTCGCTTATTTATTGAAAACGATCTGATGTGGATAAATATCAATTGTACATTTTGGAAAATCTGGATTGTTTATAAAGTATCTAGCATCTGTGTATTTTGTTGCATTGTTAAAAAGATCTATAAAGTGAGGTTTTGTTGGGTTGCTCGAACGTTTCGTAGCTTTGATATGAATGCGGATTCATAACAGCATAAGTAAAAATTTGCAATAATGGGGCAGAATTTGTGAATAGCCAAATCAATCATAGGGTTTGGCGAATGAGTTCGAACCTTATTTTCTTAATAGCTTATTACTGTATCAACAGATAATCTAAAACAGGTAAGTTATAAATCATATCATTACAAAAGCGCTGATTACTGGGCTGATTACTTCCTACTGCACTAACAAGTGCACCAGTAGTGATATCGATCCACTGTATGTGTGGCATGGAGTGTCAATGAAGCTTTGGGAATAGTTTCAGGACAAAAACGTTATTCAGAATAATTTAACAGCACCGTTCGTCTGTCTTAGCAATGGTGTACATGATAAAATTGCTGAAAATTGTTTTTCATTAATTTGTAATTTGTGCGTTGCAGTATCGAAATGAATTGGTTTCTAAACAAAGGCAACAGTAGTATTCCGCTGTTCAAAAGTCATAAATCGATAAAGGTGATATCAATTGCACCCATTAATACATGGTTTCACTTCTATTTCACAATTGAACAGAAATAGAGAAATATTCGGATAAACACTCAAGAAGTCAGACTGAAAAAAGAATTGAATTAAAAAACAAAACGATAAAAACTTTATTAATACAGTTTTATATTTACTTCATTTTACATTACAGAAGCATGGCCAGTAATGTTAGTATATGTGGTGTCTGTGAACATCGTGATGTTACCAAACCATCAGTAGTCTGGTGTTCAGAATGTGAGGAAGGACTATGCGAAGATTGTAAGGAGCATCACAGTTTTTCCAAGGCAACGAGAAATCATGAAATTTTTCCCATTGATGAATATATGAAGCTACCTGTAAAGATTTTGAAAGTAGCGCAGTTTTGCGACAAACATAAAGAGAAATACGATTTTTTCTGTAGAAAACACGACTGTCCATGCTGTAGGAAATGTGTAGAGGATCACAACGGCTGTAAAGATTTAACTGATATCAGGAATATGATCCACAATGTGAAATCCTCAGCTGCGTTTCAGGAAATCGAACACGCCTTGTCAGAAACCGCCGAGAACATCAAAAGCATCCGTATAAATCGTGAGCAAAACCTTGCAACACTTGCAGAGAAGACAAAGATTGTTGAATTGGAAATTCGGCAATTTCGAAACAAAATTAATGACCATCTTGATAAACTTCAAGATGAGTTATTAAAGGAACTTAAAGCGGAGGAAGAAAACAGAAGTAGCAAAATTCAACAACTATTGACGTCAATAATGCAGAGAGAAAAGGAGATTCTTGAATACAAAGTTAATATTGCAAATACAAAGCGATATGCCTCGGACCTGCAATCATTCATTGCGATGAAACAAATCGAAAAAGATATTTTTAAAGAAGAGAGTTTTATCCAATCAATCAGCAAAAGCGAGCAAATGCATCAAATCGATATATCGTGTACGATGAACACAGCATTGCAGGAATTAGCCACTACTACGAAGACGTTTGGAGAAGTTGTTGCGAGTACCAGTGCATGTAATGTATCCATCCAGAAAAGGAGAAATAAACAAGCTCAGATAATTGTACCTCCTTCAACAAATGATTTCGATGATGTAAGTCTCAAGGTAAAACAAACAATACAAACAAAGCTGTCAAACGTTTGTGGATGTACCTTCCTTCCTGATGGTAAAATGATTTTCTCATGTTGTACTAGCGATCAAATACGGGTTTTAAAGCCGAATGGTTCATATGATTTTGATCTGAACAACATTGGGCCTGTTTTGGACGTGGTATATATTGGAGATAATTCTGTAGCTGTTACATCAGGTGGAACTGCAGGTTCAAAGCAGATCAATATAATAGATGTTCAAAACAGAAAAGTAAAAAAAACATTGAATGTCAATTCCCCCAATAACGGAGTAACATTCAAAGATGGAAAGTTGATTTATTGTGCAAGAGAGCAGGGACTAAAGATGATCAGTCTCAGTGATGAATCTATAACCAGTATCACCACTAGTAAAATGTCAAGTGAGGGAAACGTAGCCATCCATGACGACAAGCTGTACTACACAAACGAAAAAAATCACAATGTCACCTGTTGTGATTTTCATGGTAACACAATGTGGATATTCAACGAAAGTAGTGCCCTGAGCTATCCATGTGGTATATCTGTCGACAATGATGGGAATGTATATGTAGCGGGAGTACGGTCTCACAATGTGGTCGTTATTTCTACAGATGGCCAACGCCATAGAATACTATTATCGAGGAAAGATGGACTGGTCTGTCCAACAGCTGTGGAGTATGACCGATTGAACAATAAACTTTTGGTTGCCAATAATTATGGTAACGCTTTCGTGTATGATGTTGTATGACAATAGATGTGTTAGGAAAGTCAAAACGATTCTGGGGCTGATGTACCAATACCACTACAGGCTATAGTGGGGACAATCTCAAAAAGCCCACATAATCATTCATTATAGTTATCTGTATGGGTTTGTTTGATAATGCTGAGATGATTTTTAAACAATGAAATAATAACAATCTATTCCTCAATACACAGACGAGGATACAGCAAATCAACACGATCATAATTAATATTATTATTATAAAATTGCATTGTTTCATAGTAGAGATCGCTTAAGTTTAAGATCGTTGTTCCCCATTTCTTACTATTTTGTTGAACGACTACAAGGAAAAAAATGAATAAAAAACATTGCAATCAAATCACATCCGAATCAACTTTTTTTCTCTACAGCAATCTTTGTTCAAAATGTTCGTTTATTTGAAATTGATCTGAAATATACTTTTCACGTCGGGGCCTTCCATAGCTTTTAGGCGGGATGGGTTTTGTACCTTGTTGAAGGCCATATGGTGTCTTATATATGCCAACATTTACATCATTTTGTCTCTGGTGGATAGATGTCTACTTTGGCAATCATACCACATCTCCTAATTTATATCACGTTTCAAAAATAGAGAAATGTGTAGCTTTAAATTCTAATAAAAGACCTATAGATTTGTCTACTTGACAATTATACAAAAATAGAGTGGAACAGACGCCTATTTAATTTTATAATCTTTATTTTTTTAATTTTATCTAGAAAGGCCAATTTGATGTAATGCTGAAAAGGGACAATACCTAAAAATCCGTTAAAATGTGTGAATTATTTATTCTAAATCACATTTCCCTGACATTTTCTTTCTACCAGCTTTCGTCAGTTAGTTTTTCGAACAGAAGAGGTTATCAAATTAAGTTTTCAAAGATTACCATATTCTGTGTTTGTTGTGGACTCAAAGAAGTAGAAAGAACGTATAATTCATATTGAACTTTTTAATGAATGATCGACTTGAATGTGAAAATTGTTTAACATGTTGAAATTTGCATGATTTGAGAATGCTTTTTTATTTATATCATTCTGGAGACAGAATTCTTTTTCTTCATGGGAGGCAGTGTTGTGCCACGACTATTGACAATAACTCTTTTAGTAATAGCCTTCATTCATTCATTTCATTCGTATTTCCCGGCGTATATTTTCCGCGAAACCAGGTCATATTCATTTTCATTTTTGCACACTTGCTTGTTATAGAAATGATCTTAATAACATAATATCCTTATTCAAATGTTATTAATGTATCCTATTGAATCCATAGTTAGTAAGGTTGGAATTATCAAAAATTCTGCTTATCAAATAGAAGACTATTTGGTTTACATTCACATTTGTATACACATGTACTTTTTTTAGGTGTTTTGATTGACTTGGTCCTTCCAACGTTTTAAGAAAATGTAGTCAGTTTCAAATTAGAGCTTGAAGTAAACAGCTAATTTTGACAGTTTAGCCGTATTTGCTTTGGAGGTATTTTTCACACACTGCAATTTATTTAACATACATAGCAACTTATTGATATTAATTAATCACTGTAATTAATGATATTAGTTTTTAATAAAGCTGCTTTTATTTATTTAAACAAATCTAGTTTCTAGTTTTACAAAGTTTGGACTTTCAAAACAGTTTAATACTGTGACTTTTAGAATTGACATTTGCATAATATCTGCCAACCATTTATAGTATCGGTTGGCGCTTCAAACATGTTGAATTTACGTTTCGGTGATGGATCAGATTTTTTTTCTTGGTATAACAGCTTCCCAGTGGCGAAGCAAGGTCAGTTTTAAGTGAACGCCTGGATCTCGGAGAGGTGTCTGAAGGCTCCCAGCGGGTCCAGAGCAGAGATCCTTCTGGTATGGGTTCCAGAGGCAAAGCCCCGGAAGATAAAAAGTTATCTAGAAAGCGATACCATTTCAGTCATTAAAAACACACCCAAATCAACATACTTTACAGTCTAATTTGATGATTTGTTTATGTTTAATTTATTTTATTGTGTTGATTTGGAATCTAATGAGAGATAAATATCTAAACCAGTTACTCTAAAATATGTTTAAAAAGAGATGTGAGATACAAGAATCAATCGACAAGATATCAAAAACTTTAGAAACAATATGTGCAAATTTCGTTAAAGTACACATGAAATAATAATCTTCATAGATGGTCAGGTGTAAAATGAAAATTCGCAAAGGTTTCTGACATTATCATACAAGCTTCTGCCAAAGTTTCATAAGATTCGATGAAAGTTTGACAAAGTAAGTGTTGTGTAACAAACTTAAACCCCAGACTTTATACAATTGTGTAACTCCAAAAAACAAAGTCCTTTTATCAGTAAAGTACTGAAAATTTTAAAAAAAATGTTCATCATGGATTTTAGCATACAAAAAGCTGCATTTCGTTAAAATGATGCGCAGTAAAAATCCGTCTATCCAATTCTGTACCCTTTAAAATATATTTTTCTAAGTTTTGTTTTGCCCTCCTAAATTAAACAAATAAAAATGAATATATGAAGATCTACGAAAGTTCCATGCACGTCTTAAGCTTAGGAGTCGACGTTAACGTTTCGCTTAATATTGTATCGAACACACGACAAACGTAAACTATACTACGCCGGGATACATTACAATGCAATTGCATTTTGAGAAAGTCCACACTTAAATCTTGTATTGGTATTGTTATTCAACATCAGCGCAGTATTTAAATCTCTTTCCTAACACGTCCAATAAGCTTTGTTTAATGCCAACTTATTCATATTGCAGTCCTCGTATTATTGCCTATACATACTCTATTAGTTGACAAAGTATATGCAGTTTTTATTTTGTATTTAAAAAATGCACAAATAAAATTTCTCTTGGTCGTATTGTCATTATTAAATTGCAACAGGGGCCAACACGCATTCATGATGTATGATAATTAGTTAAATTTCGTATTACGTTTTGTTCCAAGAGATGGTATAGACTTTGTAATATGACTTAAAAAGATTAGAAAGCCATCAAAGCGTCCAAAAACTTAAATATTGAAGCATACTTTTATTTCCAAAAAGGACATATTAAACATGATAATAATTAAAAAAAAAAATTTTTCTATCAATTCACAGTATCCAAGATCCATTTTATAAATAATGAAAGAAAATTCCAAATACCAATACGCAATTTTATTAAACAGATGTTTAATTTTTAGCGTATTAAAATATGCTGCCTTATAACAATTAGGATATATATCAAACAGGCAAAAGAAATATAAGTCGAAGATTATCAATTTAGAAAAGACTGATTTCAACACCAGTCAACAAAACAAATGAAACACAAAAATATATCCAAAAATAAAACAGTGATGGATCAGGTGCCCTGGAAACTTTTATTCTCCAACCTTCATTATAAATTTCTTGATGTAAATCAAGATATTGGATAGACAAACGGTATATTCACGTTCATTTCAAGTTCGATGGAATTGATGTCAACATAGTCATCAAACTTTGAGCTATTAAGTAAGAAAACGTCATTTTTATGGCAGAACGTAAAGTTATCTAGCTTCTTATATTCTTTCTGAGAAGATACTGTTTAAAATCTGCCTCTTCTGAATAAAAAAATCGGCATAGAAAGAACCACAGTCGGTTCACAAGCTTGTTAAATCTTTTTGTGACATACAGATTGTCTCATTTATAATTTTTTTCAGTAGAAAGTATAGAACATTCATTATCCGAAGTTTTTAATATAAAACAGACAGATCATTTTATTTTTCATTGAGGTAATGTTCAAACAGAATGATAGCCATGCGATGAAACAATTCAACAAGATGTATTGATGTGCTTTTTATCAAAAGGTTTCCTGGTAAATGTAAGTTTGAATGCTCACGAGAGTAATAGCTTTTCTAAAATTCAGGATCAATTCTCGAATGTTTCAAAACATTTTGATTTGGTTTTTTTTGGTAAACAGACGATACTTAAAAATTGGTCAATCAAAAATGTATTATGCGGTATGATTTCATGAGATACAACTTTCCATAAAGACAAACAGACCAAAATGAATATTAACAGAAAACAGTACGGCTTTTAACAATGAGGAAAACCCTTTCAGTATAGAAATCTACTCAACATGTTCAATGCTTTGCTTTAACAAAACATGAAATAAAACTATTGACAAAGAACAATGTCTTACCTGTACAATGTACTTTGATTGTATTATGCAAATATAACAATAATTTAGCATGTAGAACTCAATGAACTATAACTAAAGTAGTACATTTAATCTCAATTTAAACGAGATGTGTTACTGCTAAAACTACGGAATAAAGAATATCATTGTCTAACCATTCGTGGTTCCCAAAAAACCTTACTTAATTACAAAGTGTAAAATAATATTTTCTCTATGGTAAATTAGTTATTCTGAAACAAATTTAAATAATAAACTGTTCACTTTAGTTTGGGCTAACTATTTACTTTGTCTTGTCATTTTAATCGAATGTCATATTTATTAATACTTCTTATTCGAGTTATACCCGTGTTGTCTTATGCATTCAATTAAGGTTAAATAGGTTTAGCTAGTTATAAAACCAGGTTTAATCCACCATTTTCTACATAGGAAAATGCTGTACCAAGTCAGGAATATGACAGTTGTTATCCATTCGTTTGATACGTTTGAGCTTTTGATTTTGCCATTTGATTAGGGACTTGCCGTTTTAAATTTTCCTCGGAGTTCGGTATTTTTGTTATTTTGCTTTTTAGGAACGATAGAAAACTGATGGTTGCAATCCTACTAAAAAAACTAAAAAAAATAGTTTGTGTTTATGGGAATTAAATACGAAATACCAACGATTGGTGAATACATTAAATATATTTAATCATTACAACTACACACATAATGTGTTTGCGTAGATATATGTCTAGGTTAGTCTATGGAAAGGTATATACTATGAATTTAGAGCGAGGGGATTGCCCCGAGCTCTTAATTTCATAGTATATACCTTTTCATAGACTATCCAATTTAGCACATATTTACAACTCGAGTAATCTTTTAATTGTTCTATTGATAGTTTATTTTGGTTGACTACTTGTATCACAGGTGTTTGTAAAACGCAGCTCATTAACGAAGTCTTGTAAATCTACTCACTAGTATCAATGTAAATTATGTGATTTCAAAAGGCCCTCGACTCCAGAATGAAAAGATGGTAGCTGCTGGTGTAAGTATATTTATTGGTATAAAGCGGTGTTTTACTATACATGTACTTCTTTACATGGTAAGATGACAAAATAAATTGACCAAAAGCAGGCAATAATTAAATTGCAGTGGAATGCTTTAAATATCTTGAAAACATTTTTCAATTTCACAATAAAACTAAAGCTATAATAAATTTGAAACATTTAGATAGTATGCAGTGGCGGATCCAGGGAGGAGGGTTACGGAAATTGGAAAACCCCCTTTTTTGGACGATCAATGCTTTTGAATGAGAACGTATGGTTGGAACCCTACCCCCCCCCCCCCCCCCCCCTAATCCTGGGTTGGAAACCCCTTTTAAGAAAGGCTGGATCCGCCCCTGGTATGTCCCCATAGATAGTCTAGCGGATAGTCATTACTACCAATAGGTAAAAGATACTAGGGTTTATATTTTTTTTTCGAAGTAAAAACTAAAAGATGTATCAGAACATGTATATCCATATATATATATAGGTGGCACATTCTCTCCAGACATTATTACGGGTTTTCAATTCATGACATCGTCCTGAACATTCATGAAATATTTGCCACCGGACATTCAGCAACCAATAATCAACCAATCAATCAATTCAGTTACCTTAATTTCCCTTTACAAGGTTTCATAGTACACACTTTTTTGTGTACAAAGTAATTGCATGGATGATAAATCATAATTTGAAGATGGCGTTGTTCTCTAATCAAGGTATAAAGAACCATATTTGTTACTCTTTATTTAAATGAAAGAAACTTGCAATCGTCAAACACTTTTTTTTTTAGATCTAAAGGAATTTCAAAATCAATGTAAAAACTAATTACAAACTATGTTATTTAATTTGGAACACAGCATTTAATTTAAAATAGCCAGTGGCAATTTTTGTTTTAATATCTTGATTACGATACAATGAAATCTTACCCTTGTGGTCATTCATGCGTAGTTACTTAGTACACGGAAAAAGTATGTACTATGAAAATTAGAGGGCAAATTCAAGCAATTTGATTGGACGAGAAGTTGTAAGTATGTGCTAAATGATTGGTATTGACTTCTCCATTCAGATTATAGTGTAATGGGTGATTAACTGCACACTTAATGTGTTTTTTCAAAACAGATAATAAGCAAAATAAACAAGTATTTAAAATGACAGGATCCTTCCCTTAGGTATTGAAGATGATAAAACATCTCTATAGGATGAGATAACATAACGTGTTCCGAAGACGACGCAGCACAAGACGGGCAGAATTTGAATATATGCATACAAAACAAAACAAGTCTGGTAACAATTAAAATTACCGCCAAACAACATTAAACATATATTGTAAATATGACAAATTACCTTCCTGGTTAATCTATGCTTTTGTTGAACAGGCATTAGAAAATAAGAGGTATGTAATGCTTTTAACTTC